AACCTCATATCTCGGGAGACGGCAAGGTGGAAAAACAGAATACACAGCAACAATACTTAGTTTGTCATGTTTTTATTCAATATGATGAGAGGACTAAAAAAAATATCAATTGGAAATGTACACCCCCTTCATATAGATGTCGCACCCACAGAGGCTGATCTGGAATTTTTTTTTCACCTGATTTGTTTTTGTAAAAAATAAATATTAAATCATACAAATCTTTTAATTTGAAGGGATTCATACATACTCACAGAACCCCTCTGTATCTGGCCTACTATAAATAAAGTTTGTCAATGTCTGTCTGTAGATCGTGAAAAGCCAGACTACTGACTAAATAACGATGACTTCATATTAAATTTGTATGCGTGTTCAAACATTCAAAATTGGCTTAATACTACTAATATCCAATTCAAATGTACTCATGGTATTCTAAATTAACAGTCAAACCCGTGTAGTGACAGCTTCACCTATAGTAACCAATTTTAGGCATAGCAAAAGAGCAACCTGTGTATGAAGACCACCTGACAAAAGTGAAAACCCTTTCAGCAATATTTTTGCAGATTCGTTTTTGCTTAAAAACAAAAATATTACTTATCATTTTGTTTTAATTTGTTTAAATTCAAATTCTTTTAATTCAAATTTAATTTAATTCAACATTTAATTTCCACAAGTCAAACTTATTTGATTTTGATCAACTCGAATGTGGTTTTGTTGTAACAGTACCATCTAATTATTCTCTGGACAAATACTATGTCAAATGTACGAATTAATGATCTAATACAGCCTCCATATAAAGACAAATTTAAAAAAAAGCCCCTTGGGTGGTTGCTATGCACAGGTTTGACTGTATTGATCAACAAGAACACATCTCAACAGACAATGAAACATTTCAAATAAATACTGCCCTCTAGTGTCAGATCACTTATGCGAAGTCGAAATGAAAAGCGTATTCAACGGTGTTCAAATAGAGGATTCTGGTGGCGTACATGAAAAAAATAGAATTTAGCAAATCTGTAAAAAAAAAATTATTTTTATTGACTGACAATATCATCCCTTACACCAAACGATTCATCACTTGGAGACTGCAACAATTAACCCCCTATTAAATCAGCTGCTCTTGTGACATAAATATATAGCTATGTAAATATATCTATTACAGAGTTATACGTGGAATACAAACTAATCTAAGAAGACATGTGAATATTTTTGAGTATTTTTGAGAATGTTAAATTTTGTTTGATAAACGAGTGAATTCTGCTAGTGTTTTCTGCCAAAACGGGGGTCAAATTTTGATAACAAATTAAACCCTGACATTTTTCTCACAAAAAATACTCAAAACGGTGTCACATGGCTTCTTTAAATGCACATACACATTTTTAAAGCAAATTATACAGTATTTCCAACGATAAAAATACTACTGCAACACAATAAATAAACAATTATGACACACACCAGGCATAAAATTTACAGACACAAAATGATCAGATAGTAGATTATATATAGAATTAAGGCACCATAAGATGTGGTTACTTGTTTAAAGCATGAATGTCCAAATTCAAGAATTTATTTGAAATTTAAATAAAGCATCGTGTTACGAAGTAGCAAATACACAATAGAAATTTTAGGAGCCATCCAAGTACCCTCGACTTAGCCGAATTGCGAGTAACCGAGGCGCGACTTAGCGAGGGGTCACTGTATACATAATTAAACGTATGATCATTATTTGTAAGGATGTATATTATCAGCAGAATACGTATACACTGTAAGATTGCTATTACCAGTAATATGCTGCTGAACAAAAGTTTATAAGTTCCAAAAATACAATTTTTATGTCGTCATTTTAAAAAATGACCATTGCATATCTTATAACACTTAATGATATTTGCTGACTGGGAAACTTAACAACATTGAGTCAGTTTGGGGGTATGGAATATTTGCGCAATTTCATCATATCCATATATGTCAATTGCCTGTATTTTACCAATGCATGTGCATATCAAAAAACAAAAACGCTTCAACAGAATACAGTCTATGTACGGTAGTACTGTGTGTACTTCACACACACTGGATCTATTTTTCTAAGCCTTTGTTCTAAGCAGTTGCTCCTCCCAATATAGGTTCCTTGTCATGATTCTCTTGTATTGAATTACCATGCAGTGGCGTCTAGTAAAGTCAAAAACAGGGTAATTATCAGGTAGTACTACATGTAGTATATAACCATACATGTTTTTCTGGGTAATTCCTGTTTCTGCTTGTTATAATTCACATCAGAATTTTAGGTTGATGTAAATTCACCACCAATTCCTTGACTCTGCTATTATTCAATCTAAATTTAATTTATTTTTGATGATACATGAAGATATGTGATGTAGTCCGAGCATTGATGAGTTTACACTAATCAAAAACTGTAAAATGTAAATCTACCGAATATTATTTCCTTATAGTAATTATTTTGAGTCAAGCAATATTTTACAGTTTCCAATGCTGCTGTTTGAGGAAGACTTTTTTTCGTGAAATGTATTTTTAGGATAAGAGATGTGACTGTTGCTTGGCCGACACTTAAGTAGTGAAAACTGTACCTAATCATTCTTTGCAACTCCCATTTCAGTCAGAGAGTAGGGCAATGTTCAAAAGCTTTTAATAAATTACAATTCACGTTCAAGTAATTTTCTGCACTACATCAGTAAGCTGTTTTTCTATCACCAAATGAAACAGCCATTGTCTATTGACATGTCATAAAGGTTTCATTACACTGGTTTTAAACTGATTCTGGATTGAGCAACTGAAAAGAAAGCAGCAATTAGCACACGCAACCATGGACGGATCCTGATGAAAGTAACAAAACAATAACCAGTGTGTACATTACCTGATATCCTCTCCTTCGGTTTCTAATCAACAAAATCAGGGTAATAATGACAATTAGGCATCCAATACCAAACACAATCCATGGCATTATCCTGGTGACATACAAAGGTGTGAGTACTGAATGTTTGTATTTGGTTGCACTGGCATCGTCTATAGTATAAGTCTGAAAATTTAAAAAAACGAGGAAAGTCAAAGCCGGTTATTTCTACTTTGAATAAATGATAAAAATAAACACATTATTAATAATTGTTAAATCTAAAAAAATTTTTTTAAGATACACAACAAATTTAGTTAAAAATAAATATCTAATTATACAGGTAATACAATAAACTACTTATTAACGCAGTAATCACCCTTGGTTTTTGGACATTTAACGAGTTGAGGGCATCCTCGAGTATAGGCCCAGGGTGTTTTTACCGGGGGTTGACGACATTTATTAAAATATGCATGTAGGAAGTGTATTTCATAGCATAAAAATCATGATTGGTACGTTAGTTTGGTTCCAGCTCTACGAGAAAACTCCATTAATTTCAGACTGCATGGCAGTCGAACGTACGTGACAGAACATACTGGTTGTTCGCACGTTTTCTATTCTGTTATTTACTCGGGATGGACCTTGATGTTGCAATACTGAAATAATCCATATTTCTTTTGAGTAGTAGTTTTCCAAACCGCAAAAATGTGAAACCTGGTCACAGATCATTGTTTTACTTTTCCGAATAATCTTGTCCATTGAGTCTATCGTGAATGGATTGTGAACGAGCAAACTATTCTTCGACATGACTTGTTAGTAGCCGTGAATATTTCCCTCACCCTCAGTTTACCTTTCGAAAATTGCGAATCAACAGCTTTTAGGGAAAAAAAAATCACCATTTTTCGTTGAAATTAGTGTTAATAGATCGCATTTTAACATCGCGGTAATTCAGTTCCGCATTGCAGTGTAAAAAATTATTTTTATTGCTTAACGAAAGACGTGACCTGTTAGGTCAAAGGAAGTTTTTCAGGTCAAATTATGATGAAACCATGGCGGAAATAGCTTTGTATCGAGAGTTTGCGTATGATCTTGCCTTCGGCCGTTTTCCCACAGACCCTACCAATTTTTGCACCGTAAATTCAGTAATTGTAATAAAATGTTTGTATTTTTTGAACATGTTTGTTTCTTCATTGTGAAAAGTGTTGTTGAAATCAAATGACGACTCATTTTGCATTTCTTCCCTCAAAAAGACATAATATTCCACTGGAGACCGGGCGCTGTGAACGAAAACTGTAATTTGGATAATGTTTCGAGGTTGGGAAGATGGTTACAGTTTTAAATGCACCAAAATATTACATGTTCAAGCCCCTGGGCTTATACTCTGGGAAATACGGTATATTGTCTTTTACCTACTGCCAACAAAGAAGTCAAAGAAATATTTGAGGCCCCAAAAAATAAACACCATCATGCATGGCTGCCAGTCAAATCTTCTGAGTCAAACCACAAAACAAACTAATATGCATCAGTAACCATCATGAGTGATGACAATGCCAAGTTTGAATAATATCTGCACAGCAAACCATCCAAAATACCTGAAAGCATTCATAGCATTACGTTTCACTATTTTGGTCATAATAAGTAAGCCTCATCTTAGCTGTGAAATAATGGTTTCTAGTATAATTCATAGATTTAATTTATTTTAAATTAATAGATTTCATATAATCGACAAAAAAAGCGAAATTAAAACCCAGGCAGGTTATTAAAACACTTACAGTGTAACATGAATACAAACTAAGTAATTAGTATGCACATTTTCTAATTATTATGCGGATTAATACTCAACTATTATCAGACATTCAAATACATGAATAGAATACATGTACATATCAAATTTGAACTGTTGACAACACAATATAGCAATAGAAATAAAAACAAAATGGCGAGATGTCAAAATATACAATAAACAATATCTGCAAATGTATAGTAGTGAGACTATGGCCAAATAATCTGAGCTTGGCAAGTGAAGATGAACAGGAACATTTAGGGAAAATAATCAATGTATTTATACCAAAATTAGATATAACCAGAGGCACATTACTTGGGGTTTTCAACACGCATAGTACTGTATGGAGACATCTTGTCAAGATTCCATTCAAGTCTCATCTCGTAGATACATGTAGCGAGACTGAGGCTACGACCTTCTGACTGAAAAAATGTAATACATTGAAAATGTACAGAAAATATAGTTATCGTAATCCGTCATATCGTGAGCAGCTATTTTGATCCACCTAGACATCCCAGTATCCTATAGTTACCTCGAGCATGCGCATTCGCATTTTTCTGAGTTGAAACGCTTATGCGAGAGCGAGATTGTGACGGAATCTTGGTATCATGTCGCCGTAGTTGCAAACCTCAAGTAATGTACCTCTGATTTAACCTATTATCATGTATGTAACTAGTTTCAGTCCATTCAAGCAAAATTATTGGATACAAGTAAACCACCAAAAAATAGTTAGTTAGCTAATTAATAACACAGCAACTAATTAGAAAATTGTCTAATAATCAACTACATGAACGAAAAACAAATTTCATTTCATTTAGGCAAAGTATTGTTAGGGTACAAACAAAATATGATGAAACTATCCTAAAAATATCTTACCTCATTTATCCATAAAACTGGATAATAAACTTCATTAATCTCAGAAAGATCACTGAAAGTGAAGAAAAACAACAACACAATCATACACACACAATCTTTTACTGCAATATTAAACTGGTATTCGTTTCTTTTTGGCCATGAAACATCCCAAAAGATTGTTGCTTTCTGACAACAAGTGATGCTCTGTAAAGTGGCATCCAATGATTTTGTAATTACAATATTCACAATATTCTTATAACTGATTAAGCAATAAACCAAAACTCGATATTGCACAATTCACTCTATATATGCACTCGCTACCGCTCGTGCATATATGTCGTGAGTTGTGCAATATCTCGTGGTATACCCGCCCCCCGGCAGTGGTTTATTGCTATTATATTATACCAACTTCATTTCTGTAGCATTTTCGACACTCTCGGCCTTTTTACAAAATAATAAAGAGTCGTTTTCGAACGACGTGTAATGAGCATGAAATGGGCCCTGGAACCAGTATTTAATCTCTTATCACACACTTGCGCTCAGTACACAGAAACGCACAGAACAGCAAGTTTAGATATCATCACAATCAAAGGAAGTTTATTTCTACAACGCAAGAAACTAGCAAATAATTAGAAATTGAATAAACTGAACAAGCTCAACGCTAAATTTACATATGAATAGCTGTGAATAAATTATCATCAGCAGAAATTACTGGCAGCGCACACTGTGCGTCATTTTTGAAAATATGTGCTGTGAACTTAATATCGTTCTCGAATTTTCTATTTTGTGTTTGTTATGCTGACATTAATTGGTCCACTAAAAGTGCAGTTATGGAACAAAGCAGATGCTGCATGTGTACTTTGATTATGGGTTTTAGAAATAGAAGCGGTGCCAGATTCTGCGAGAGTTGGTCCAGACGCTACTATGCCGGTGTTTTCTGGGGTACGGATGACGTTGTCGGAAACACCTGCTTCGATCGCTACGGTCACTTCTCTATCAAAGGATTTGTTTTTATATCAAAAACTGCGAGACAGGATACTGGATATTCATTGACTCTGATTATTGGTGACTTTGTTAGTGTAGGCCGTGAAATACATAAATGTGCGTTAATAAATGTGTCTGATTTCAACTCCTGCCGAACACAGTGCACGCAGTTGATGTGTATGAAACGTCAACAAATTTGCTGCTATCGAAATCTCTTTCATCATAGATCATAATTTATTTTCACAAATACCAGCCTATCAGTGTGTGTTACATTTACACAGGGCCACTGAAACAACACATTTTGCAATTTGGACAAATACATTTTGAAATGCTTCAACTGGACAATTTTCGCCCCGGTAACATACATTTTAGCCTGTGTTTCCAGCTCCCGAACATGATACTCGGCCATTTCTATGTTGCAGACAATGAAAACATGTCGCAAAGAATAGCCTGCAAAAATTGTAGGTTGTACAATTTTTTTTATTTAACCACTGCAAAAATGAAATATGTATATAATATCTTCAAATCATGCTATCAATATTACCCCAAAAATTCCCTAAAATTTAAATGCCCTTCCTTTTATTTGTTTACGAATTGAACTTGTATTCATATTCTGGGGCCTTATTTGGAACACCATAACTGTGCATTATGCTCTATTTAACCATGGCTTGCATAAATTAAAACAGTCTCCCAACCAATCACAATGATGCATGGATGGCAGTGATACACTGGTATAATATAATTGATGATAACTGAACATAATTTTATTTTTCAAAAATGATTATTGAAATCGTTAAAAATTCAGAGTTTTGTGATTCTTAGTACCACTTGATAAAATACTGTTTTTTTGGAGGGGGGGGGTCTAAAAATTACCCTGGTTTGAACTACACCTGACAGGAACAAATTCAAGACCAACCTGATAGCCTTGTGTCTTGTCAAATGGACATTTATTTGTAGTCGTTTGGCAATTCTCATTGATATACCAGTTACCTACAAATATACAATAAAGATGGTAGTCTAGTTTAAGAGTATCTCAATTAATACAAAAATACATTTGCTGTAAAATCTGTATTATGCACAATGCAACAGAAGGGATGTGGCCTCTATTAGAGCATCTACACATACGAGAAATGGTGAATTTTTGGTTCTCAATTGTTCAAAAAAGAATGGGTTCTTATATTAGAAATTCAACTTCTAATACAGATTTTACGGTACTAGTAACTACACACAATCAAATTACTGAAATACTAGACAACAAATAACAACTGGTTTGCTTACATAATCTGAGTCAAGGAATGTTTGATGTTCTTCTTTGTTTGGGTTCATACACGGTAATATCACGTCTTTATCAGCGTACAGGAAATGTGGAAGTGAATAAAAAATTGGTGCACCTACAAATATATTAATTAAAACCAATCACTCATCCATATCTAGATTTCTGTTATGCAGCATGTAACACCATATACTGTATATATATATATACTGTATACTATACAACTGTATATATATATTTAATATGCTTCTGTGTAAGTAGTCGCATCATTTGTGATAACAGGTACAATATTGCTGGATCAGGCTAGGTTTAGGTGATTAGTTTTAAATTAGTGATTGGGTTTTGGTTAAAGTTTCAGCATAGTTTTGAGTTTGAAACATTTTTGAAATTATTCAAAACAATGAGATGTATATCAAACTACACATGCATATTCACAATTACTTATTCAGGCCGAGTTTTCATCACTTTTGTGTGTCATCAAGTTTAATAGCTGCCCGACCAAGATTTGAAGCGATCCCCATGCAATGAACATTTTTCAGCACATGTGGATTTCATGATGCTTCTTTTTACAGTCACACAGCAGGATTTGAATTGTGTTACAATAAGATAAAATTTGTGTTTGTCATGATTAAAATAAAAACACTGAGCGTCCAGTTCCAAGGTATATATAACTTGGGAATGTCATAGCTGCTGATATTGATTCATGGCTCAATTAAATACATATGTTAAAGACTTCAATTGAATTTAACAGATAAGAGAAATCGTAGTGTTGCCGAAATTGTGCTTTATAGATGTACTTAATATGTGTACAAAAATAAATGAATAGCTACGGTATTGGTAAGATATCCACCTTGCCAAATATCACCAAGCAGTATCAGATTTAGTTTTCAGCATTTCAGGGTGTCGTCAAAATCACCCAATCACACTTGGGATTCTCTGTCTGATGATTGAAAATGGAGTATATTAGAAGGATGCCAACTAGACTTCTGACAGTGAATTACATCAGGTTTTGTTCAGTACAACTGGCGAACACTGTAACTTTCATATTAAATTTTGGATAAGTTATGCCAATAATAAAACAACAAGCCATGCATGGCACAGTCCCAGTTAGTTATCAAAATTTAAGATATATAGTTTCGTTTATAGTAATATAGCTGGAATATAACCATGTCAGGAATAAGATTTATTAACATTAAAATGATTTGTATCTGGTCGTCAAACAAGTACTTGTCCATATTGAGAGATATTGCTCTGGAACAGCATTCAAAATCAGCCATTTTGAATACATGTATATATATATATAACATGATGTATAACGAATATATAAAATTTGAATATAATCAGTCAAAGCATTTAAGAGATATGGCTCTAGAACCCCAATCATTAAAGCAAAATGGCCGTCAGTCAGCCATTTTGAATCCGAAAAATAAAATGACGTGCATCAGGAACCCGTAATGTCTAATGTACTGTATGTACCAAGTTTGAATGTAATCCATCCATAAATGCCAGAAATGCTTGATGTATGATGATTTTTTAGCACAAAAATGGCCACCATTTGGCCCTTTTTAATAGGATCGTCAAACCAATATATCTGTCTATGACATGATGTATAATGAATATTTAAAATTTGAACATAATCAGTGAAAGCAAGTCAGAGATATGGCACGAGAACCACATTCATTAAAACAAAATGGCTGCCAGTCGGCCATTTTTGAATCTTATCTGAAAAACAAAATTATTTGCATCAAGGTCCCATAATGTCTAATGTATATACCAAGTTTGAACAAAATCCATTTGTAAACAGCCGAGCAATGCTTGATATTTAGGATTTTTTTAGCACAAAAATGGCCGCCATTCGACCATCTTGATCAGATCGTGAAACAAAATGATGTGCATCAAGGTCCCTATAATGTCTAATGTATATACCTAGGTTGAACAAAATCCATCTTGTAAACAGCCGAAGAAATGCTTGATTTTGATGATTTTTAGCACAAAAATGGTCGCCATTCGGCCATCTTGAATCAAATCGTGAAACAAATTGACGTGCATATGTATAATATCATGTATGATGTATGTGTGAAGTTTGATTGTGACTGGTCCAGGCAATTCTAAGATACAGGTCCGGACGCACGCACAGACGCACGCACGGACACACAGAGGTCAAAACATAAGTCCCCGTTTTCGGACTGCGTCCGAACGGGGACTAATAAAAGAAACCTTAGCTACTGGTACCTTAGATTTTAATTAGACTCCTGATTCCCGAAACTTTGACTGCAATTATCTAAGGTACATGGAGGTGAACTTTTCAATTACTCACCTTGCTGACAGGCACTTGCATTGAGAAGACCTCCTGGAGGACAGTTATTTTTAGGTGTACAAAATCCGCCATTGTCTGGATTGAAGGTGACATTTCCAAGTAAATATGCATTAGAGACAAAATGATTGACAGTGATTCCTTTCACTTCAACTTCTTTCTCAAACATTACAAAAACAGATCTGGAAAAGTCAAAATTGAAAGAAATTATTAGTTGCAGCATCCTGATACAATTGTTTTCAAAAAGGCAAGATGTTTTTTTTCTTTCTTTTTTAAGTGCTATCTTAGCATTAGTTGAATTTAGAGGTAAATTTTGTTTCCGAATTAAAGTGGATAACTTTTTGTACTTTTTTTAAGCTAAAAAAAAAAATTGCATTGATATTGCATGTTAAAAAAAACGTAGCAGGATCTATCGTAAAATATCAATAAAGTTTTGTCTGCAAATAGGTCGGTATTCAATGAAATACTGAAAATACACTTCTAGTTTTTAATTACCTGCATGTAAATATAGAACGCTTTAACATAAACTGTAATCAAGGCTAAAGGCACACATAAACACATATATTGCATGCATTTCCGAAATCAGTATCCCCCCTAGTGTTAGAAACACTAAATACCAGTTGCCCTCACCCCCAAATCGCATAAAGTCTAGGCATGAAGTTTACTACATTTTATACTTTATTAAACACATAAAATTCCCCAGGAGGAATTAAAATGGTTACATTTACACTAAACAAAACTAGACTAATAATACAAACATTATGACTAAAGTAATGATTAAAAATAATAATCGAAATTAAAATAAATAACTATTATAGTTCCTGGGCTCTATGTTTTGCAATATGTTATAATTAGAGTCAGTATCCAATGTGTTGACTTAACTACGATGTAATGCATTACATCATGCTGTATTTATGATATCATAAACTTGTTTGAATGGCTTTGATATCAACAGATTTGCTAGATTCCTATGGTAGTAAATAACCAAGCTTATGCTGTACTTTAGTTTCCTTGTAAAAACCAAACCATGTTTACAAAACAATGTTCACCAAGTTGACTTGACTACAATAGAATGTAGTACGATGCAGATTTTTAAGCCATAAACTATGAAGTACCTGGATTAAATTGTACCCGCCATCCACACTTTGTCGTCCCTTACATTTACAGTTGATACAGTGATACAGTGTAACAGTGTCGGCGCCAGTGGTCTCTTGTCATTGCCAACTTAGCCAAAATAAAAAGCATGATCATTTGAACACTGCTATTACAAGACTGGTAGGAGGTGATGCATTTGGCAACGATTAGTAATCGAGATTTGGTGCAAAAGTATTCAAAAACCAGTTTTGGGGCTGTTGCAATGGCTGATGAAATCACAGAAGAGTTAAAAAGCCAATCCCGGTGAAAAGTTACCCCAATTTTGAGATCAAATTTCTTGGCAATGAAAAAACAATATCACAAAACAAATTGTAACTACTTGTTCACGCTCAAGCTGAGTAGAATGAGCTATATCCTGGGTTTTTAATCCTTGATTTATAGGAGAAGATACATTTGAGATGAAGCTATGCAAAAATCATTTTTTTTGCTGTTGCCATGAGTAACGATGCAACCTACCTGCCAAGTTTGAACAAAATTGGTCAAGCCAAAACAAATTAACGGAAGAATTAATATGCGAGGGCACCGGAAATCACACACACACAGACAGACAGACAGACAGACAGACAGACTGACAGACAGACAGAGACAGACACAAAAGTGATTTTAACGGCAATCCTCGTAGAGCGGATCGCAAATGATTTGGTATACAGTCAATGCAATATTTGGTTTATATGTACCTCTAATGGAGAAGCACTTCTTATAGAGTAAATATGGGTAGAGTTGTTCCATATTTCATTAAATGAATACTGACAAAAGAGTGATTTTATGCTAAAGTTAATACCGGTATACTAAATAACCAATATGCATCAGAATTTCGTCCATTTAAAATCAAAATACACAAACAGGAAATGCACAACCAATAGACTAATGAGGATTATCAGTAATAAACATGTATGACTAGATGACAGAAAAGAAAGAAAGTGGATATTTTGTTTTTGTGTGTTTCAATTATCTATGCTGGTTGCATACCTGCAGATGTCTGACGAGAATATATAGGCTGGTTTGGATCGATCAGAATATGGTGGTGATAGTGAGCCATCTGAAAAAACAAAAATACAACTTACAATAAATTTGAATACCATACATTGAATGTCACATTACTGGTGTAAAATTAGTCCCCGTAAAAACATAAACATTTGCAGAATTTAACATTTTCATCTGTTTCCTCTTTTCATTAAAATTCACAAAATAGTCCTGTTTATAGTCTGCAATTTCTTTCAGAAGATGAGAACAGATTAAATCCGATTTTGTCTGTTGGCTCAAAAACTAGGGTTCATTTTCAGAAATATTGAAGAATATACATGTTTGAAAATGTGGGAAAATTTGGGAGAGAAAGTCTGATGGCGAAAAGGTTAAAGCATGGTGAAAATTTGCTGATTCTGTTGCAAAATTCTATAACACGATTTTTAAGTTGGAACATATTTGCATCATAAAAATACTGCAAAGTGTATACAACATAAATAGGTTGATGCGATTCCGTGCTGTCTTGGGTATAGTTTGAATTTTACATTTAGTGCAGATATACAGCTTTTCACAGAAACATGAATTCAATTTTTTTCAAATGCAACATTGGCATTGATTTTCAATCAACTCTTTGCCACACTTACTCAGAGTGTAAAATTCTTATGAAAAATTGTTCAGGTATTTTTTCCATCTGGGAATAAACCTGAAAGTTGATAACTTATGTATGAATCAATAACTACAGTATATGACAATTTTGAAATTAAAAAAAAAAATTGTTGCCTTTGTTGATTTGGTATAATGCATGTGAATGACCTTAACAGAAAAAAATAATAATGCAACTAATTTACATACCGGTGCCATTAATCATGTTTGCATAATCATCATTCCACCACGACAGACTTGGTTCACCTTTCCATTTGTCAATAATGTTAAGTTTATCAGAACCTGTGTAAATATTGTAGATGCCGTCATCTGTACCATTCCGCTAATAATTTAAAACATATACAATGACAATTTTAATTGCAGAAAATTTTGATTACCACTGTGTGAATATATTTATTATGAGAATGCTGTAATATATGCACAAAGACGATACAGAAAGAGTATCGTACAACAATGCTTCCAACGTACTGTCTGGATTCATACTGTGCTGTTCATCTTTGTAACAACACATTATTGTGATCTAACCACTTAGTAGAAATATATTGCTATGCACTTTGTTTTCAAACATGTCAAATAATCTTTCAATACAATTTACTTGAAATTTGCTTCTAATAAGGTAGGATGCGAATATCTTGTGTTTGATACTGTACAAATTACACGATGGGGTGACTTATTGAGATACATGATTCACATTATTTTAGAGACTAATCCAACCCAACACTGCATGTCACATGGCATTGTCCATATATGGACATTGACATTGCATGTCACATTGC